AGAGAGAGAGAGAGAGAGAGAGAGAGAGAGAGAGAGAGAGAGAGAGAGAGAGGATGCGTAGGTTAGGTCTCGTCGTGTAGCGTAGGTCGCGTCGTGTAGGTCGCGTAGCGTAGGTTGCGTAGGTAGGCCGCGTCGCGTAGGTAGGTCGCGTAGCGTAGCGTAGGTTGCGTAGGTAGGTCGCGTCGAGTAGGTAGGTCGTGTAGGTTGCGTAGGTAGGTCGCGTCGCGTAGGTAGGTCGCGTCATGTAGGGCTGTACTTTTCCCGCCCGCCCGCCAATGGTCCTTTCGGACCGATTTCCCCAAGGCACCGCGGCAATCCGGGCCGTAAACAGCCCGACGGCCCGGATTCGCCCGCGATCTTAAAACTTTAAGATCGCGGGGCGATCTGGGCCATCGGGCAGGTGCAACCGCGAACGGCCTGGATCGCYGCGCGATCTTAGTCTTAAAGTCTTAAAGTCTTAAGATCGCGCGGAAATCCGGGTCGTCGGCCGGTAGGCCTCCGGCGGCCCGGATCGGCCAAACGCTGCGCGCCGAATAGCGATTTCTATAAGTGTAGGGAAACCAGAGGCAGCCTTTCGCATAGGACAGGAGGTCGGACTTTCTAGCCAGTGGTTGGAAGCAGATACGTACACAATACTATCTCCAGGAGGCATGGTCAGTATGCTGGATAAGGATTCGAGGGTTCCGATCGCCATTAAGAAAAGCATCTAAAGAAAGGTCAGAGTGGTTGAGAATGAAGATTTTAGTATCATTTTACGATATTTGAGCCACTGACATCCATTCGGGACCTGGAAATCGATCCAGCAGAGGGGGCATGGAACATCAGGGGAAGCTCGTCGAGAGTAATCAGGAGAATGAATATACTTCAATACACCACTGAATTGGGCTACTGTCTGAGGGGGAGATCTTGCCATTTGGATCAGATTTTGGCGATAAGATGGGAGAAGAGATTGGATATACCAAGGGAACAGGTAGAAAGGTTACCGTGGTGAACTTTGCACAGTATCAGATTGGCCAAGGTCAGGAGCATGCAGTGGCTCATCTTTCATGTAGCACTCCCAGTCAATGTCTGGCTGTTCGATAAGCGAAGCAGGCTCAATAGGAATGAGGCAGGTCAAGACTGTGTGATGTGTATGGGAGGCGTTCCGGAAACTCTTATCCATTGCTTGCTCCATTGCCCGGAAGCAGAACATCTCTGGTCCATAGCTCGTTCATTGTGGACACATACTACGGAGGTCCCCTTCCCGCGAAACAGGAAACTAATATTGATTGGAAGTGAGGKGCCTAAGGGATGGCWGGCAGGCCACAAATATATCTTTCAGCTTCTGAGACAGTACACTTTATGGACAATCTGGAAACGAAGATGTCAGCAGGTGGTGGGCAAGATTCTGTTGACTAGAATGGAAGCCAAGGGAATTCTCTATAGCCTGTTGGAGACACAGATTAGGGCGTTATGGAGAAGGACAAAGAAGCAAGTGGCTCTTAACCCAGAAAGGGCAAAGGATACCTTAACCAAATTCCAGAAAAGGATACTAGCCCAAGGCAAAGTCGCGACCGTAGAAGGAGAGAGACTTATCTTCCATTGGTTCAAAGACGAGAGCCAGGAAGAGACTATAGATGATCAGCCGTTGACACAGGAACTTAGGCTGCCATAAGAATTAAAGTGAGGCAAGGCAAGGAAGGATAAGTGAAGGGGGTTATAGGTTTCAAGGAATATAGGATACGAATTCGGAGGACAACATTAGGGGAGAAAGGAAAGTTTAGGACAGAGGGAGGAGAGAACCATAGAGGAGAACATAGATGTTGGTCCACAAGGGGGGCGGAGAGGAGGGAATACAGTCGGGGGAGGGGATAGGATAGGGCATATTTATTAGCAGAAAAGATAGTAAATTAGGGGAAGGAGGGTAGGTTAGCAGCTGCTGGATCCTTTCTTGTTATTTCATGAAGAAAAAAAAAGAAGGAAAGGTAGTGGTGGTTTAAGGAAAAAAAAAAAAGAGAGAGAGAGGAAGAGGGTTCAGGGTTTAGGGTTTAGAGCTTAAGAACAGCACATGTTTTACATTTTTAGGAACTAGGAACACGTAAATCACGACGGAATTACAGCTGAGGGTTTAGGGTTTAAGGTTTAGACAGAAACAAGGCAAACAGGACTTAGGGTGTTAGAGATTTCAGGAGACTCGTAGGTGTTCCAGACTGCTCTAGCATAACACACAAACCAGACAGCATCACTGCTGAGAGGAGCGGGACTGGGGTTAGACAGATTGGCAACAACCAGGCAGATTAAATAACACAGGCTAACTTAGGCAGGGGCGAGGGGTGGTACATCCTTCCTCAGGGAAGTAATCAATGTCGTCCACTCGGGCCTCCCAGCCATAACGGGGAGGAGCGTGCGTGAGTCTCCCATGTTTTCCATATTGACTTACCGGGGGAATAGGAACCGGACTGTCGCTCCCCAGAATGGTAGGAGCCAGAACCAAGAGGTTCTGTTAAAAAAAAAAGAAAAAAAAAGAAAAGAAACCTTAATGCCCTGGGCTATGTATTGTCTAAGGGTGACAAGGTAAACAACATTCACCTAGGTTTCAGTAAGAAAAAGTTAAAAACACATAAAGACCGGACATCACATCCCTAGAAAGTGAGTAGAAAGTACTAGAAACTCATCTCACTGCCGATCGCAGACCACGGCAGTATTAGAGCTGGAGTAGAAAAAATACCAGGCAGCATAGCGTACAGTCTTTTGGCAAACGCTGAGGAAGGCCGGATGGGCACAGCCATCCTGATCGCCCGATCCTGAAAGATCATTTCTGAAGGAGAGATCATTTCTGAAGCTGGATGGACAAGCGCTGAGGAAAGTGGAACGCCAACCACAAGGATACCCAAGATGGGAGGTGGTGCTGGGGCAACATTGGCGGTCCCATGAGGAAGTCGGAAAAGACACGGAATCCAAAAGATTGCACTTCTTCAGATCAAATAACCAATCTAACTAGATGACCTAGTCCGGCTCCGGTCGCATAAGACTAGTGATGCATTTGTCGTTGTGGTATGACACTCAAAATTCATATTACCCAGAAAAAACCGATAAAAAAAAGTATAAAAGGGAGAAAGAACTTGGGAGATGAGGCGGAGATGGAGAGAGATAGAGATGAGGCAGGACAGTGGAGGGCGCAGCGAAAGTGAGGGATCGTGGGAGTGGGAACTTCAGGGCAGTACCTCCCGCGTCCTCGCCCCGCCCACGCGCCCCCCCTTCCTCCTCTCTCACTCTCTCTCTTCTCCTCCTCGCCACGACTCTTTTCCTCTCGCTTGGGCATGCTGCCCCCCCCGCACTTTCTCTCTCTCTCTCTCTCCATGTGCCAAACAGTAAAATTGCCTCGATAAGCAACAGGAGGCTACTAAGGCTAGGATGGGCAAAATGGACGTCACATAAGGAATATAGCCAAGTCAGCAACCCGAAAGTGGCACCTCTCTCTTCTGAGGTTCTTTATGGTCATGTGTAACTGACAGTCTCTGGCTACTAAGACTCAGAAGAATGTAAAAAGGCAAAGGCCACCTCTCAGTCAAATCCTCCTGAAAACGAGCAACCAATGTTGCTCAGTGGCCATTCGGCCTTATAGACCACCAGTGCACGGCCCCAGCCTTGCTGAAAATGTTTCGCTGCCTGGTCCGAAAAAGGGCGCCGGCCCGCTGTCGGTAAAATAAATCAGCGGCCCGCATGTGAGATGTGTACTGGTGGTTTAACGAAGGAAGCATTAGTGGGTATTTGATTGATTCTGACTTGTGGGTGGAAAAAGGAGCCAGACTGATGCTTTAAAAAAAAACAAAAAAAAAGCAGCCCAACTCGTGCTTTAAAAAAAAAAAAAAAAAAAAAAAAAAAAAAAACAAGGAACCAGATTCTGATGCTGCCCAGGGTTGATGTGGAGCCAGACCTACAAGGCACTGTTCAAAAATTAGAAAAACAAAACAGAAAACTATGAGATCACCATATTTGTATGTGGTCTCAATACCATGTGTTCTTCTATTTGGGGGAAACGGACAACGAAGGGCCATTGAGCAGAACTGCAACAACACAAGGCTGAACTATTACCTTCACTTGCAGAGCAATATCTCTTGTCAGCAGAATGGTGTTTGTAGGAGCAATTGCATTCATGTAGTATAAGCAACATCCCAAGATCGCATCATCTGCAGAACAACCTGAGGTTGATGCATAAGAATCCTGCCATAACACCAACAATTCAAAAAGTCACCCTTTCTTTTCATGGACACAAACTTCATCATGACCTGTGTTCTGCTCCTCATTCAAAACAATGGGATGGTCTAACAAACTTCCAGCATGTTTGCCTCAACAAGAAGAATTTGATACAATCCTTCTAATTGAGGCAGGGGTACACAGAGAGACTGACCGAGAGAATGACCGAGAGAACGACCGAAACATTGACTGCGATCGATCGACCGCCCGCCCACCTGCCCACTCACCTACTCGACCCAGATAGAGAGAGAGAAGGGGGGAGGGAGAGAGAGAGAGAGAGAGAGAGAGAGAGAGACCTGTCTCTTATACACATCTAGATGTGTATAAGAGACAGGCGTTGCTATTCGCGAAAAGTGCACCTGCACCGTTTCAATTTTGAAAATGGCTTAAGGACCTCGGCCTCCTACGGGCAGCTACCGGTCCTACGCGTTCCTGGCCCTTGCAAGGCCCCAAAACCTCAAATGTCCACCCTCCCGACGACCACCGACGTTGAAATTGACTTTGAACGTTGAAATGTTTCAGGGGGGGAAAATGCAACCCTGACGGGCTGCGAACTTAGGGTTGGTTATCCTCCTACTACATAGCTTAAAGGTTGAGGCTGGCATAGCAGTTCCTTGGTACGAGATGTCGGGGGTGTCAGGAGATACTGCACCTTACTGCGGGGCGGGAACGGGCTTCAGGGATATACGAGGGAACGAAGGATCCCCAGCTCTCTGCCATCAAACACAATAGTAGTAATACAACGTAACACTGTGCACCCTCATGAAGACCTGTAGTAGCATGTTCATACCTCGCTCCCGAAGACCCCATGCAATCGGGCTTGCACGACATCTGCTTCAACCTGGGTTGAGCACGCAGGGTGGGTCTCTCTACCTAGCCCGGGTGCCTGCAACCGCTGTCTGGTCAGGTCACCCTGGCAATATGGCAACGAGTGATGGTCCCGGGTGGTTAATACTAGGGTAGGACAGGGGGGGTGGGGGTGCGCCAGGGCAAAAATGTTAAGAGGAAGGGTGGGTGGGGTCTTCAGAGGGATTCAGGTGGACAACCAAGTGGGCGAGTATTGTGGGTAACTGTCATTAGTCTAGTATCCCACCTCTACAACAAGTTGGGCTTTTTTAAATTAAAAAAAAAAAAAAAAAAAACTTTGGAGTTGCAATGAGGATGTTGTGGGTTCTCTTCTCAGCCCTTAACCTTCCCTGCACATGATCAGTTGGTGCCCTGTTGGGAGTCTGCATACTTATCCCCCAGCCTACCGTCTTCCCCCGAACATAACGCATATGCGTTGTATTCGAGTTCAAAAAAAAAACGATTGTCGGAAAGTTAGACCTTTTTCGTCGAATACAAGGGCACTTCGAATATAACGCATATGCATTCTATTCGAATAATACGTATATGAGTTATAGTTGAATTTCACGAAAATAGAATTGTTGTATTTGAATATAGTCTTGCTCCCCCCCTGAAGGTCAACGCCTACTCCGTTCTTGCCCTGGTGAACGGGACAGACTCGTGCAGGCCCGTAATCACGAATGTGGTGTGTTTTGACCTTGGGTGTAGCGTCTCTCTCTCTCTCTCTCTCTCTCTCTCTCTCTCTCTCTCTCTCTCTCTCCCCCCGCATGCGAGAAAGCGCTTCTGACAGCGAAGAGTGTGGCGCGGCAAAAAAAATGGAAAAATAAGAAAGCCACTCACCAAGGCCTCTCTGCACTATTGTGGTCACCAAGACAAAAAGGTTGTATTTGTCCAGATTCTAGCGGAAGATTCATTCTCATTTTGCACACTTGTCGAGGAGTGGAGCTAGGGCCCAAGTAGGGGAAAGGAATGAAACTCAACCCAAAATATGGAAAGGTGCGTCGCTATTTTACTTTTACCTTTTTGCCAAGGCTCTGAGGCCCCCAACCGTGGTCCAGAATTGAGCCTAGTCAGCCAGGACCCAACCCCCTTGTGCAAAAGGAACGCGTAATTTTATGCATCGGTCCGATATTTTTTTTAACGTCACTTGAAACTTACCTTTGTCTTAATTTTTTTTCTCTTGAAAAACAATGTGGTTGTTTGTTCAATAAACTTATTCATGAACTCATCTCTTACTAGTTTCTTAGGTAATATCCCATCACGACGGAATATCAGGCATGAGAGACAGTTCACATTGCATGATTTTCGTCGTTGAGGCAATCCTCGAGGTCAATGAGATTTGATCTCTTTGTTTTTTTATTAGCGGAAGCGCATGTATCGGCCATGTGAATTGAGCCAATGAAGTCATTGAGGCATAAACTTCTCGAATCTCCGACCATGTTTTTTTCGGTACAACAAGGATGAAACACGTATTTACGATTGGGACGTACTAGAAGTCGTCGCCAAGATTGGCGATCCTTATCACTTCACTTCCAAAGCACGGTGCTCAAGGTTCACCAATGCGGGGTTTGTGATTATTGATACTCATTTCCCTCCTTATCGGCCATGTCGATTGAGCCAGCGAAGCCATCGGTGCGTCAACTTTTCAAATCTCCCCGCCCATGATTTTTCCCCTACGACGAGGATAGGACGCGTGTTTGCGAGTGGGATGTAGGAGAAGCCATCACCAAGATCGACGACCTTTATCACTTTCGTTCCGAAGCACGGTGTTGAGCGCATTGATCCCGCAGACGGCACCCTCCCAGCCGCGTCACGCAGGATTTTGCAACACTTTTCGAGAAGAGCGTTTTGCCGCTCTTGCCGAGTGTGTCAACCATACCTCTCGCGAACTCCTACGATAGGATAGGGCCACGCGTAGAAAACTTCCCTCCACCTCTGGGAGTCGTCACCATCCCTTAGGTGGGCGTATCCCCCCCGAGCTACCGAACCATATGCGATAGTTTTATTTTGAATTTGGTAAAGAATTTCGATGTAACCCTGAGGCAAAAGGTGTTCAGTTTATCTTTCTGCATAACACAGTTTTTCTTCGGACTTTTTGGATTTTTTTTTTTGTTTGTTTTTGGCTGGGACCTTCCCTGGTCCTTGCACGGCCGGGCCGCCCGGGAAAATAGGATGACCCGGGCGGCCCGGCTGGTAGCCTAGGCGTATGATTTTTTTTCTTTTGTTTTTTTTCCAGATCCACCACTACATCCGAGACTCCTTTTGCCGAGGTGGAATACAACCACGCTTTTGCCAATGCGCCAGCGTAACCTTTCTTGTTTTCTTTGGCTGGTCTTGCCAGCCATTTTGGCTCAGTGGCGCCCGGCCTCTGCCGGCCTCCGCAGGCCTCCGACGGCCTCCGACGAATGCGGTGTAGGTTATATTTACAACTTCCCCTTCCAGGCTGAAAGGTAGTAGTGCTTTAAACAACCACTACGTCCGAGCCTCTTTTTGCCGAGGCCGAAAAGAACTGCGTGCCAAGCTTTGCCAAAACGCCAGCACGACTTCTTTTCCTTTCTTTGTTCTGGCTGGCACCGCCAGCTATTTTGGTCTGGTGGTGCCCAGGCTCCAAAGAATGCGGTATTCAAAGGTTTCGAGTCTGCCTGGGAACGGTAGTTGTGGTTTAAACCGCCAGTACACGGCCCCGCCCTTGGTGAGAATGAACTCGTTGCCCATCCAAAACTTTTGTGCCTGGGGCCTGCCAGAAGACAATGGCTGGAGCCCTGACCAAACAAGAAGTGCGCCGCTGGCGGTTCGGCAAAGCTTGGTGAGCAGTGGAGCAACAGCGCCCAGGTGTACTGGTGGTTCAACATGATTGGCATTCAGATGTGCAGATATTCAAATACGTTCCCTTTTTTATTTCTAATGTTGATATGCGGGTATTCAAAACTCAAATACGTTACGACAGCGACCATACCCGAAATGTATGTCACAAAAAGTGCCAATTGCGTCCATTTTACTCCTGAAATGTATGTCACAAAAAGTGCCAATTGCGTCCATTTTACTCCTGAAATNGAGAGAGAGAGAGAGAGAGAGAGAGAGAGAGAGAGAGAGAGAGAGAGAGAGAGAGAGAGACATGCAATGATAGACAAAACGTGTGAGGCTTTACTTTCACAGAATACACGTCCTGCCCATGGCATGCGACGAAAACATCGTTGCGATTACCCTTCTACCTCTCCGCTCAGGTAATCATTTCAGCCACTGTCCTCGAAATTTATACCCTATGTCCTTAGCCTTCCCCACCTACTTCCTCATCCTTGCAGTCCTCATCATCCTTTCCTCCTAGTCTCTGGTTGTCGTGCTCCGACTAGTCCTTGTCGCCGTTGATTTTCCTTTTGTCGTCGATCTTGTATCCTTCACACACATATAGTGATATAAGTATACGTGCGAGCCTGTGTTCTTTGCCGTCCCTGTTTGTTTTCTTTGAAGGATATTCCGTACTTACTTAGTTATTCGGCCGTATTCATATTTTGTTTCTGACGTGTATTTGTCTTTGTTTGTTGTTTTGTTTTGTTTATCGCGCGGCCGTGGTTTACATCATACTTTATCAGGTGAGTACTTTGTTTCCTTCGTCGTTTTGCTTCTTGTCGCTTGCTTATCCTTGGTTTCCGACTCGCTTCGCATGTTTCGGAAATATTTAGGGAATGCCTTTGTTACTCTTGCGTCATTATCTGCAGATTTTTGCCGTTTGTTTTCAGTCGTGAGCGTGTCTTACTTGGTTTTTTCTTTTATTTCATCGTCTGGAATTATATCATACCATTGCCTTTTTATTTTTATTTTATTTTATTTTATTTTATGTTTATTTATATTTTTTTCTTCCCTTTCAGATACTCCATCCAGCCACCTCGGAATTTGTGACGTCCTTCATTGCTTGTTTATATCATGTGGCTGGTGTCTCTTCTCCTTTCAGATAGTCCTGGAATTTATTCCAGACTTCAGCGTCTTTACAATTTCTGATGTACGCCAGCATCGCCGTGCGGGTTATCCTCCACGGGTAGTCCATTAGTCTGAGTTCTCTTCCAAACATCTTGATCACCGCAGGCAGATCTGTGCTCTCATATGTGTTTGCTACCATTCTGTGACATGTTCCGATTATCATTAGTATCTTCGTCTTTTCGGAACCCGCACTCCTGAAGTGACGCAGTGTTCTGAGAGAGAGAGAGAGAGAGAGAGAGAGAGAGAGAGAGAGAGAGAGAGAGAGAGAGAGAGAGAGAGAGAGAGAGAGAGAGAGAACGTACGTCGTACACATGATTTTTTTTATTTTATTTTTTCTGTGGGGCCGTTCTGATAGCTACAGTACATGCTGCCTCATGAAGAAAACAACGGTTGGCTCTGGCTCAGCAAAAGGGAAGAGGTAAAAGAAATTCCTACTGTCACGTGTGTCCCAGTATCCCGTAGTCTAAAAAAGTAGCCCTGTTAGGTTCCATGGAATGAACAAAGATTGTGTGCACACACACACACACACACACACACACAAAGCTCTCCGTTCAAGCGGATCAATGCGCGGGGGGTCATGGTTGCATCCCTGCCGACCGCCGACCCCGACCGCCGACCGTATTGCAGCCGACCAGTCAGAAAAGAACCATCCACTAATTTTTTTTCAGATCTGAGTTGGAAGCTGTACTGCGCTTGCCCCGACCGCCGACCGCTGAGAAACTTTTGGGGATGGGGGGGTTGGGGGTGGGGTGTATAGGGGGATATAGGGGGGGATAGGGGTGGTATAGGGGG